ATTATGCCTTTCAGAAAACAAGTTGTGGATATACAAATGGCTACCAACAAAGATGCCAAAAATGAACTTTAAAAACCAACAATTTATATGTTAAAATACATTAAAATTTGTGCCACTTCTTTAACGAAGTGTTTTATAAAAATATAAAACTCTAGCAGGTGCTATTTGTTCAGGTTTTCTTGTTTCTCGAGCCAGACCAACAAGCAAAAACTACAAACAGTGCAACTGAGCACAGTCATCACTCACCTTTGAATTCAGAAAGCAGATTTTGAGCACAGAAGGCCCAGGCTCCAGAGCACTTGTGTGTCTCTTTCTTAAGAAGATCTGTGACATAGCCTGAACTTATGGAAACCTCATTCACTTTTTGCAGCATACTTATTGACTCACAGTAGCTACTGAAACAGAACTTACAAGCTGATCATTTTAAAAATCAAGAATTTTAATATTAAATATTAACAGAATATTTTAACATTACATAGAAAAAACATATTACATATGAAAAATTTAAATAATTTGATAAATAGAAAAAAGAACTTACACATGTACATTAGACAAGTAATAAAATATTAGCTATTCTATGCATGTTCTAGATTGTCTGTGTCCTTCCAAAATTAGTATGTTGTAAAGTTACTCTCCCAATTCATAGCTAAGGATATTTGAAGCTGGAAGTTTTACAGTATAGTTAGCTTCAGATGACACAAGAGGAAGAGACTCCAGCTAAGCACTTGCCCTGTCTTGCCATGGGATCCCTTTCGCCCTGTTATGACGCAGCAAGAAGTCACCAGATGCAGAGCAGATACGCAGATACTAGTGCCACACTCTTGGGCAATCTTGCCTCCAGATTGATGAGACCAACACACTAAGAGACCCTACAAATTTGAGTGGAAACAGTCTATTTAAAATGCTGTTGTCCATGTAAGGAATATTTGCATCTTAGTTATCTCATGCTCATTAGTTCTGAATTTCCTAGAGAAAGATAATCTCACTCTGGAATTTTGTTTTTAGGCAAGGCAATGATTAGAGGGGAATAATAATAATAATGATATAGTAGCTATTTTTCTTGGATTTCTGTCAGTTCCAGATCTCTATATGGCTCACCAACATCTATCATTATTCTTAATTTATATGAATGAAACAGCATAGTTGAGAAAAATGAAAAATGACATGATGTCAGGAAGCAAATATAAAACAAATGAGATAAAATCTTCATTTAGATTGACCACTCTGGTGTTGAATCATAACTACATGCTCTCCATGGTTCTCTGCAATTTACTGATCTTCATTCTGAATTAGGAGAGAAACCCTAGATGTTCTGTATGACAACTAAAGAGTTAGGTAAGTTAACTTGTCAATATTTATCAAAGGGATTTACTCTTGATAAGTTGCCCCTGGAGCGACTGTTAGAATTTCCTGAGGGCTTGGTAGATGATCCTCAGAGGAGCCTGTGGACCCCAGCAGTCAGATCTGAACTGACAGCATTAGGTGTTTGGCTAGGGATCCCATTTTGTACTGTGCTAAAAATGTCCTGAAAAGAAGTGCTCCATCTTAACAGTTTTCTTAAAGAAAATAGTGAAATTGGTGTTTCTGGGAAAACTGGAAGAACAAGTTGCTGTAAGAGTTGTTGTAAAGGTAGGTTACATCTCGTAAAAAAAAACTTTACTTACTTCTGACCCTCAATTCTAACTCCTTCCCAAGAAATTCTACTGCCAAGCCACTTGCCTCTATTGTCACGTGGCCTGGATGAAAGTCCTTGGCTTGATTACAACTCCATCCTCAATATTTCACTTATTCCCTTCTGCACCTACCCCCTTCCCAAACTGTTTTAGAGGAATTTCTAGGAGTGCCAAGAGAAATTCAGATCCTCATCTGTATCTTCCTGTGCTTCCTGGGCTCCACTACAAATATAACCAGATCCCCTTAGAAAAACTTTCATCTTCGCTTTAAAGGGAGAGAAAAAACTCACTAACTTTCTAAATGTTGATTAATCACACAGATAAGAAAGTGTACCCCCCTGTCATGGTCCCTATATTGCATCTAGTATTATGAATATAGAGTGTGGACAGGAAGGAAAAATACAATTTGACAGTTGTGCCAGATGATTAATAAATTTTGCATGTGCTGGTGATACTGAGTAAAAATCACAATGAACATGTTAAAAATTGGGGAGACAATAAAGCCCCAGTCAAAATTAGACCTTGTGTTAGGAATTAAAATAAGTTTAGGAAGGCAAGCCAAAAACATATTCAAAGGGAGAAGCACTCAAATTGGAAATTCATTGTTCTGGAATTCAGTAATGTAGAAGGCAAAAAAAAAAAAAAAAAAGGAATTTGGGTCATTTCAGTGCAGATATTGCCCAGACCAGATATTTTCATATCTTGTCTTCTCATGGCCACACAGATTTACGCTAGAGTCTTATTAAAAACCTTTGTATCTAATTGAGAAAAGTCTCACAGTTCTGATTCTTTGTCGTTTTCATCCAGATAGTATTCATCATCTGTAGTTGTGTCAGTGTCACAGTCTGAATCCACTGGGTCCTCCTCATAGATATTGAGGGGCTCACTGGGGGACAAGTCACCTTCTGGCACCTGACCATCAGGGGAATTTGAGCTTAAGGAATCTGATGGTTTGGGAGAGTTGACTATATCATCTTTTAGGAAGCCAGGGTTCTTAAGAAAACTTGGTTTCCACAATCTACCTTGTGTGAGTGACCTCTTAACATTCTCTAAGAAAGCCAGCTGTTGTTCTTTCCCAAAAATCCCATAGTCAATAGGCCTGGAGATAGAATTTGCGGACCTGGGACCTGCTTTTGTTCTGTCACTATACAAAGACCAATTTTCATTTTCATCACAGGAGGGAAGTTCAGAAACCGATTTGAATCTTCGACTGTACCCATTGTTCACAGAGAATTCGTTTCCAAGGGTCAAGCAACCCAGGGCATGGTCAATAGAGGTGCTTTCAGAAAAATGGCGTTCTCTGAGTTTTGCGGGATGACTTTTGTGTAGCATGTCACCATGCACATTGATGCTTTTTAAACTCTTGGAACGATAGAGTTGTGGCTCAGGACCCCCTTGTGGTGATGAAAGATTCCTTTGTCGCCGCTGACAGCTGGCCAAAGGGATGCTTGCTGTCCATTTCTGGGCAGGCTCCAATGGACAAGGAGGGCTCAGCGTCCTCTGTGGGAGAGAGTAGCCTGTATCCCTGAGGCTGGGAGAGGTGAGCTGGGCCAGGCACCCTGACTCTATTTGAAAAGAGTGAACAGCTGCTGCTGCTGCTTCTTTAGAATTCTCTGACTTGGGTGATGATCCTGAGAAACTTTTATTAAACTCATCCTGATGTACTTGTGAAATGCTGCTAGACCTCTGAGCTCTGCTCCCTTTTACAGGAAATTGGACAGGGCTTTCAGACTTCTTGACTTTCAGCCCAACCTTGCTCAGCATGCCTTCATCGGTGGAGTGTGTAGACTTTGGGATGGGTTCAGGCAACAGCGAGTTGCACTCCAGGCTGCCAATATATAAGTGGCCAAAGGCAGATCTGCTTGCACTCTGGGGGGAGATGGTGTCTAGATCTTTTCTGGGGCTTAAATCTTGAGCTGGAGATTTTCTACTTGCTTTAGACATGTCTGCCAATGCATGTGTCACTGAAGATCTCTGTCCTCCCTTTCCTAGGTCATCCACCTGGGTTTTATTTCTTTTATTTCCTCCTTGCAGTAAAGGTTGAGTCCATGTTGGCTTCTGCAGATCCTTGGCAGCCTGCCTGCTCTCTGTTGGGTTCTTCTCCTGCCCGCTGGGAGGTAATTCTCTCAATTCAGACCGTACCTTTTTTGTATCTGCTTCATCAGAGCCAGTGTCTTCAATAAGCTGCAGTTTATTCAGTGCTGGTATAAGGGCAGAGGCTTGACTTTCAGACTCATGAAGTGCTTCATCAGTCCTGTTTTGGTGTTCCATTCTGATGTTTTCTCGGACTTCCCTAGTCTCTGATCCAGTGGGGCTATCATCTATAGCTGCGTGTGCTTTTGGTGGGCATGTTCTACTCCCAGTGGCTGTAATGGCTATACCACCACTTTCTGTACATTCCCCAGAACTCTTTCTGGCTTGGAAATTTTCATCATTATATTCTGAATGGGCTGAGACATTCTGGATACCTGAATTAACAGACGGTTGACAATTTTCAGATTTTTCATCTGTAGCTGTTTCTCCTTGAAGCACCAATGAAATATGCAGGATTTCACTTTGCAATTTTTTCTCACTTTCTTTCCTACTTTCAAGATCACCTAGAGATGTTTTGGCTAATTTATCTGGAAAAAGTTCCTGAGTTTTAGATCCCTCTAGAGAAACAGCTGTCTCTGTGGAAGCCACTTCTTGTAAGACAGGTCCTGAAGATCTCCCATTTGGAGATTGTGAGGCAGTCATGTTTTCAATGGGGTGAGAAAGACAGTGGTTGCTCTGAGCAGAGTCGACCAGCAAGTGTAGGTCTTCACATGGTTTTCCTGCTAACTCGTGTGTAGAAGCATCAGCAAATGTTTTGATACCCACATGAGGTGATTCTGTGAGAGAATTCGCATTTTGTGTATACTGTTGAAGGAGGCTACAGAACTTTTTGCTGGGTTTCCTTGGGAGTGTATAATACACTGAAACCACCTCAAGACACTTTACATTATCTTCATCTCCAGAAATGGAAACCAAACTAGTAGTCTTAAGTTTATGTAATATTTTCCCACTGTCATTTCCTGACACATCAGAATGAAAAGACAAAGGGTCTTTGTCTGAAAGGGAAGGTACACTTGTCCTGGAGGCAGCAATTTTATCAGCTTTTTCCATGCATTCGTGAGGATATTCCTTTTGGTGGTATCCTTGGGTTAAAAAAGAATCTCTGGTGGATGAGTCACTTTTGAGAGGGTGCAAAGCCCGCCCCCAAGGTCCGGGGCTTGCAGCAGCAGTACTCGTATCTGATGATTTTTCCCCATCATCTCTTCCAGTTGAGCTATATGGCTCTGCTGAAGGACAAGACACAGCCCTCCTGATGAGGAACGGAAGTGGCCCTTTTCTCACAGAAGCAGACCGAAGGGCTTTCATGTTTGTCTTCCTCTCTGTGACTATAGTTACTGCTGGGATGGAGCCAGAAGCCACTTGGGAATGTTCATCTCCTGACTCAGGAGAACTGGCACTGGACTGATGGGCTGCCTGCTTCCTTGCTGGAGCTTCCACATGGTTTCTGATTTGAAATGGAAGTGGTCCATTCCTAATTGAAGTCGTCACTATCTTACTTTCCGACTGGCTAGTATTTCCTGGAGTGCTGGCTGATTTTCTCGGTAAGGTACAGTAAATTGTGCCAAGTTCAGAAGCTTTGAGATTTTTTTGCTTCTCCTCACTGAGGCTACTGCTGTCACTTGCAAGCGCCGATCTACTTTCTGCTTTACTCAACTTCTCAATACAGGATACACGGGGTCTTACTTTTCCTTTTCCCTTTCCATTCCGGAAAGAAGAGTATGAATGATATTTGACAGTATCAACTGTGTCATCATCTGTCAGCCTGTGAGTATCATTACCCTTTTGGTTTTCTAAAGAACTTTCAGAAAACCGATTCTTTTGGTTCTGGCTGGCCTTGTCTTTGTCTTCTATTTCTCCCAGAGATAGGTATCTTCTGTCTGAAGGTCTCCTCCTGGTGGACACTGTAGTAGAAGGAATCACCAGAGAATTAGAGAAAGAATTACTTGGTGGGGAGGAATCTGGTGGCGCACCTGCTGACAGACGGACAGAATCACATGAGCCACTGTGCTCAGCAGCATCAGTTGTGGGACACGGTTCTCCTTCACTATCTAAAATGACAGGCTCCATTGGAGATGGTGTGTGTGAATTGTCAGTGGGTCCAGAGTGCCAACGGCTATTTTTAATATTGCTTGAATTATCTTCATGACTTACTTGATTTGAGTTAGGGAAAGATGATGGTGTTCTGCTTTCCTGAATGAAAGATGGCAGGCAAGTTGCTGAGCCAAGTTTTCCATTCCCAGGACAACCCTTATCTTTATTAAGTTCATCTGCTTGAATTTTATTTGTTATGTAATTTTTGATGGTATCTTTCCTGGAAACAAGTCTGGGTACTTTTGTTGAACTCACAGTGGCAGAGGTGTTGAAATAAAACCTGTCATTCTTGGCAGATTCCTGACAGAGGGAATTTTGAAACTCAGGTAAAGGGTTACAGCTCGCTGCCTGTGAAACAGGTTGGGGTATGTCACCTGTCATGTCTGTCTGGTCCTTCTTGTTTAGTTGTTTATCTTCTTCTGAAACAGAGTCATTCATGTCTTTCTTATTATTCATGTCTGTGACCACAGCATTGGCCTGGATTTCCAATGGAGAATCAACTGAATCTTCATTGACTTCCACATGGTTTCTTATCGGAAGAGAGACAGGCTTAATGCGAATAATTTTCTGCACAGTGACTGTGTGGTTCTGAAATGGGGGACTCTGAAAATTCCCTTTAACATTAGAAGTCTGGGGGAAGAAAGTTTTGAATGGAGATGCTTGAGTCTGAGCAATTCCAAAGGAGTCTTTGTTTATATCTTGCTTATAGTCTAAACCACCAGATTTGATGGGATGGTTTGGATCAGTCTTGTGGCAAACATCTGGTGCTCTGAAATACATAGACTGGTTCTCAATACCTTGTGATACCTCCATGTTCTCCACAGAGGACATCTGAAAATCACGCTGCCAGGCATGGGGCCCTTCTTGGCCTCTAGAGAGATTTGTTCTATAACCAGGGGAAGGTGATTCCCAGGACTGAAAAGGGGCAGTATGCCCATGCATAGCTGATGCAGCGGCAGCTTCAATGGAAAAGATTTCAAGGTTTCTGTCAGATGAATGGAATGATCTCCTGGTTTGATGAAAATCATACCATAAAGAATGCTCTGTCTGTTGGCTCCAAAAAGAACGCTGTGCAAATCTCTGTTCTCTTCTTTGTCCAGAAGAATTGCTCAAGAAAGGCCTAGCAAATGGGTTGTCTTCATGGTAGAACGGCATGTTCTCTGAGTTCTCAAATGTGTCAGGACTCATTGCAGTATCCATAGGAGAATTTAAACCAATGCTTTGACATACTTGCTGTGAATGGCACAATTCATATCTTCTATTCTCCTGGAAACACCTGGGATTTATATACTGGTCATCAGTGTCAATTTCCATTGGGGAAGGTGCCCCCAAGAACTCTCCTTGGTTCTGCTTATCTCTAGAAGAATCTGATGTGTTCCATATGATGGATGATAAAGGCGTTCGCTTTGGGCTCTGCTGGTGGCATGGTGGTAGAAAAGCACTCTTGTTCTCAGTTGTGGCTGGAAAATGCAAGCTTCGTGCTGTGAAATGCCTTGGGGCTAGTGAGGCTGACCGCTGCCTGTCATCGAAATGCAGAGAAGTGCTACTAAAAGAATTCTTTTGTTGGTGATCCTCTGTTAACATTCTGGGCTCCCTTGTTCTGTACATATCATAAATTGTCCTTGTCCTAGGAGAAAAGGTTTTAAAACGTTCTCTAGGAGTTCCTGGTCTTAAGATGTCATAGATGGACATGTTGGAAGTTTCATTATAGCGATTTTTGTGCTTTCCTGTGACATTACTCTGTGTGTTCTCACTGGGATGAAAATGGTTGAACGGTGTTCTTGGTCCATAGTTGAAGGGCGTTCTGGTATTTACTGAGTTTGCAGATTGTTCCTGAGCCAGTTTGCTATCCAAGTCATCTAAAACTAAAAGGAGAATATAAATCATTTTTTGGCATATGCTTTTAATTCAATATTAATTTGAATTGTTGAAGGTCATATTCAAGACAATATGATCCTTTTAAAGTATTTTACCTCTGTATTATCAAAAATGTGATGATTTTGATTTTGTTTCAAAGGCAATCTGATTTTTAGAAACAGGAAATAGAAATTTACTTTCATATTTTTCAAATTATACTTTTTCAAAGTAATTCTTCCACAATGCCTTAAAGATATACATATGAGTATATATATCTTTTCCTAACTGATTTTTAATCATGGTCTCTTTTAGAACATCTAAATTTATTGTGTCTTTGGTAAGATATGGCAATTAATAAGATATTGAAGTATTGGTTCTATTGTGAAATAATTAGATAACCACAGTGCTATTTAGCTATGTCTTTTATTTCTTCCATGGGAGTGTTCCAGAAATGAATATTTAGACAGTATAGCTCTAGGTTTCGACCTGTCTTGACTCAGCCTTTGTGGTCATCTTGGATGTAAATCAGCAGAAAGATTTCTCTCTTTCTCTCTTTCTCTCTCTCTCAGTGTAACTCTGACTTTCAGATAAGTAAATCTTTTAAAAAGAGAACAAAAACTACGTAAGTGCAAACCTGTCTTTAAAACATTTGTAATACATTATTAAAAATAATAAATTAATTAATATAAAAAACCATTTGCAACAAAATATTTTTGCTCCTCAGTTTTCCTTTCAAACTGTTTTCATTTTTTCCTTTAAAGTCTTGGATTGACTACATAAGCAAATGTAGTTAGAATAGAAAATACAGCAATGTATACCAAAAACGTAAAAATACCTTGAATCCTATCCAGAAGAAAGTACTTCTTAATATTTCTGTAATGGGATTTTAAGTTATTCAAAGGGTTGATCTATGGCCTGCCATGCTGGCATCTCATATGAATGCTGGTTTGAGTTCTGCTTATTCCATTTCTGATCCAACTCCCTGCTAATGTGCTTAGGAAAGCAGTGTAAGAAGGCACAAGTCCCTGGACTACATGGAAGTTTCTGGTCCCAGCTTCATGCTGGCTCAGCCTGGCTAACTCTTGGCTCTTGTGTCTATTTGGGGCATAATTCAAGGATGGTCTATCTTTGTCTTTCCCCTTTACTTCTATAACTACCTTTCAAAGAAACCAATAAACCTCAGAATCAATTACTCAAAGCTCCTTAGAGTCCCCTATTTGTAATTTCTTTCTTTCTTTTTTTAAATTATAACTCTCAAATCAAGACAATGCCTGGGGAGAGTGCTGTGGCATTGTAGCCTAGAGTTTTGCTGTGGTACCGGCATTCTATGTGGACACAGCTCCTCATTTATAGCCTGGGAAAGCAGTGAAGGATAGCCCAAAGCCTTGAGATCCTAACCCCACATGGGAGGACCAAAAAAAAAGCTACCGACTCCCAGCTTCATATCAGCTCAGCTCTGGCCACTTGGGGGTAAACGAACAGAGGGAAGATCTTTGTCTTGCCTTTGTGTAAATCTGTCTTACAAGTAAAAATATAAATCTTTAAAAACACAAAACCAGACATCAAGTCAATTCCCGCTCTCCTTCTGGACTTTGTTTTCAGAGAGCTCTTGTCTTAACTGCCTGGTTTCAGGACAGAGGTTTTCCTCCTGGTGGCCAGGAGCCATCTCACTAGGGAAGCCTCCAGGGACCTGTCCTCAGCACTGACTCTCACTGGCTACCTCACCTGACATACACTAAAGGGTCAAGTGGATGTCACTGTCATGGGAAACTAAGCTTAGTTTCTTAAGGTGAAGCGGATGGGTGATTTAACTTTTCCAATGGTCATGTTTGTTTTGAAGTAGAACAACCCACATAAAAGTGAACTTTGATTATATAAAAATAAGGTACATGTTCATTGGTACTTGTAGAGACTGTTTCCGTTTTTATTGTTATCTATACACAAGGTTAATCTTTGAACAGCAATTAGATTTCATCACAGTGCATCTATGCCCTAATCAGGAACAAAGAAAGTCTTCATATAAATAGCAAAGCTTACGGATGTGTTTCCTACGGATGTATTTTCTTCTTACCTGAGGTTAAATTTTAAATGTTGTTACTCTTCCAAACATCTATCAGTCTTGGGTCTTAGACCATTTGCTCTGATTACATTTAATCATGAAGTTCTTTAATTTTTATGTTAACAGTATATATCAGTATGTTCTTCAGATAAGGTAAGCAAGAGGACTTAAAAAATGAATCACAGGGTTTGAAGTGTGTTGCGCACTTTAACCCACACTGTAATTATCATTAGTTTCCTTTAAGTATCAGGATTTCCAAAGACAATTTAATACAAGGACTTACCTTGGAAAATCTCGTTCTCCAGGAGTGAGGCATCCCAGACAGGAGGAACACCACTGCCCTCCCTCATGACTGCTGGCTTGGGGACAAATGTGCTGTCGACACGTTGGTTTTCTAGAGCTGAACTGAATATTTTTGCCTGTTAATTTAAAGGTAGAACACAAAATATTACTTCTAAACTTTGAGCCAGAACACTTACATGTTTTCCACAAATGCATCACAAGCTTAAAAGTCCTTGTCTAAGGGTTACAAAT